CTACTACTACGACTACTACTACTACTACACTATACTACTACTACTAGTACCTACTTAACTTAATACTACTATTACTACTAAATAACACTACTACTATGTGCCTACTACGACTACTAAAATGAAATACGACGACTACTACTCCTACACTACGGCTACTACTACTACTACTACTACTACTACGAGGACGACGACTACAACTACGAATACCACGAATACTACGACTATACGACTGCTAATGCCACTAAAACAGCAGCAACAACAACACCAACAGCAACAATTACAGCAACAGCAACAGCAACAGCAACAACGACAACCGCAACAGCAACGACAGCAGCACATAGAGCATCATTATATGTCTCCATCAGCAGCATCATCATCAGCCTTATCATCATCATCATCATCATCATCAGCAACATCATCATCAGACTCATCATCCGCATCATCCCCGTCATCGTCACCATCATCAGCATCACCATCATCAGCATCACTATGAGCATCATATTCAGCATCATTATCATCATCATCCCATCCTCCACCATCCCTCACCCCTCATCTCCCTACACCATCAGCAACATAATCATCAACCATTTCCTCACCCTCACCCTCATCATAATCCGTATGCTCCTCATCATCATCCCCCCGTTTCTCTGCCCTCCCTTCTCATTTATCTTTCCTTCCCTCCCTTCTCCTACGCCTCTTCCTCGTCCTCGCCGCCACCACCACCACCACCACCACCATCACCTCGACCATTCCTCCTCTTACTCATCCTCATCCCCCTCCGTGCTCCCACCTCCTCCTGCCGCTCAGCCTTCCCCTGACGTTCCTCCTCCGCCGCCGCCGTCTTCGCCCCCTCTGCCGCTGCCCAGACGCCTGCCTCACGCCAGCACCCGCGGCGCCGACGCCAAGACACGCAGGGCAAGGCCCGCCTGCGTGTCGTTCTGATGCATCCGCAGCGCGCGCCGCGCCGGGCCCTCCTCGAAGCCCTGCAGCGGGGCTGGGCCATGTAGAGCGGGGGGTCGGCGAGGCCACGGCGGGGGGCGATGGATTCGAGGAGGACGGGGCGGGAGAGTGAAGTGCTGAGCGGGGGAGCGGGCAGAGGGGCGGCAGGAACGGGAAGGTAGGAGAAGGGAAAAGGGCGAGGGATGCGTAGGGGGAGGAGGGGGGGGGGGGGAAGGGGAAGGAGGGTGCCAAGGGGAGGGAGGGAGGCGGAAAGGCCGAGAGAAGGCGGAGTGGGGGGGCAGGGGATGGGGCGGGGTGCAGACACGCACGTGGAGCTGGAACGCGGCAGGAGGGGGGAGGAGCTCCCACTCCCCATTCAACCTTCCCCGTTTCTCTTCATCCCCTCCACTTCATTTCCTGAACCCCCGCTCTCCCCTTCCCTTCCCTTCCCTTCCGCACAGTCCCCTCCTCTTCCTCTATCCCTTTTTTTATGTTTCTTTCTCTCTCTCTCTCTCTCTCGCGCACCGCGTCGGCGCGGCAGCGGACACGGTCGAGGCCCTGCCGCTGGCGCGCACCCGAGTCCTGCGGGGGCGATGCCGATCTCTCGTCGTCGGCGGCCCGCGCGTCCGCGGGGGGGGGCCCTGCAGGACAAACCTCCCGACCGTGAGGTACCCGAAGATGACGACAGGGTGGAGGACCAGCGGCGCGATGCCGAAGCCCTCGGCGAGGAGGCCGCCGACCGCAGCCAGCAGCGTCCCGCCCGCCTGCTCCCCCTTAGGAGCTCTCTGCCCTCAGGCAGGCGCCTCACGCCGACTCGGCTCCGAGGGGGCCTCACGCCGACTCGGCGGAAGCCAGCTGCATCAGCCAGCGCCGCCCAGCGGCACCAGGTCGGTGAGGCGCATGGCGGCCGCGATGCCCGTGGCCTCGAAAACCACCGCCACGTAGCCGTCGCTGCCGGGCGGGTCGCCAGCTCCAGCGACTACCAGTTGCGCCTCCCCCCTGGGGCCGCCGCGAACCCGCAGCCGCTGGCGGGCGACCACGGCATCGCGGGCGGCCGCCGCGTCAGGCAGCTGCGGGGCCGGCCTGGCATGCGCCCCGCCGCACACGTCCATGCCCTCGTCGTACTCGTCGCCAGCGCCCAAAACCGCCGCCGTCGGCGGGCGATCGAGCACGAGGCCCGCACGAGCGCCGCCAGCCGCCCTGCCGACGTCGCCGGTGGCCGGCCCCGCCTGCGGCGCGGGCGGCAAGGGCTCGCGCGCCGAAAGAGCAGCCAGCCCCCCCCCCCACGCGCACGCCGCCGCAGCCGCCGCCGCGCCTCCATCCAAGTCCTTCTCAACCGCAGCAGCGGCAGCGCCTCGCCGACGTCGACCGCGGCGGCGCGTCCGCATTGGCGCGGGAACACCAGGCGACCGCGGGCCAGCCTCAGGAGCGTCGGCAGCACCACTGCGTGCGTCGCCAGGAGGGCGAGGAGGGTCTTCAGCCCGAGCAGGGCAGCGGGGCTTGCAGGCCAGGTCGGCGATCGCCGCCCGCAGCAAGCCCTCCGCCGCCCTCTGGAGGCGCGTCCCGCCGCGGGACGAGGCCTCCCCCGCAAGGCCGCTGGCAGCGATGGTGGTGATGATGGTGCTGATGACGATGATGCTGATGCTGCTGATGATGAGGATGATGACAACCAAGTCTGCGGCGACGACGATGATGACGCTGACGACGCGCCTAGCTAAAACCTAAGCGCGCGCGAAGGCGCCGCCAGGAGCGCGCCGCGGGCAGCCTCGAGGGCTCCGCGACGCACAGCATCCGCGCCGCTGGCCTCTGCACGCGCGGCGAGCCCCGCGGCAGCCATCACGCGAGGCGGGCGGCGGGCGCGGGCCCGCGCGACGCACGGCCTGATCCAGTGCCGCTTCTCTCTCTGTCTGTTTCTCCCTCTCTCTCTCTCTCTCTCTATCCCTCCCTCCCCCTCGCCCCAATGCATTCCCCGCCCAACCTCCTTCTTCCGCATCTGGTCGAGGACCGCGTCGGTGTCTCATCGGCGCCCCAGACGATCACTGACCCGAGGGCGGCAATGGCCCATTTTAGGTTTCTGAAGAAAAGCGCCCAAAAGGAGGAATATAAGGAAAGATATATATATATATATAGATATACACAGCCACTCGGAGTTCGGTGCCTCTGGGCCTGGGCCTACAAGAAGATTAAGTAAGGGGAGCCACGCAGGGGGGGGGGGGGGCAACAAACAAGACAGTCTACTCGTAGCCGCCAGGGGGGGGGAGAACAAAGAAAGTCGCACTGCTCGAACGCCTGATGCATCCATTTTCCTTCAGTGATCCTCTGCCTCTTGCGCTGCCTGGCACCCCGCACATGTAACCTCCAATCCACCCACTCACCCGCCGTATCATTCCACTTCTCCTGATCATCACATACCTCCCTCCACGGCAATCCACACTACAAAAAAAGGTCCCCCCATCTCCACGCATGGATGTTCCGACCATGTCCTTGGTTACCCGTCGCGCGCACTATGCGGTCGAGGTAGGACCTATCCTTGTAGGCCAAAGCCTCCGGCAAGATACGCGTCGGTCCGTACCTTCGCAATCTGGCAGCATGTCCTGCCCATTTGCGTGTCTGAAAGAAAACGAATCTGTCCCAAGTCACCGCCTCATGCCGATCAATGGTATCGTGGATGTTCCGATTCACCCGTCTCTGGAAATCTGGAACCGTTTCTTCGGGGGCTTTCCGAAGCCCCAACATCTGTCTAATCATACGGCAATGCATGACTTTGAACTGTCTGGGCTGCCGCCTAGCGCACAACAGGCTGCCTGCACAAAAGAACGCAGCATTTTACACAAAACTCTCTAACAGTTGCAATCGTCGTCCCAGCTTTCCCTGCTTGGCACACAATACAGCACGGCGACGTGTAAAGGCCGCCCACCCTCTAGACAACATGCGCTGCATACATCTCGTCGCATTATGGTCCATAGTGATCCAAGCTCCCAAACACCTAAAACCCTCATTCCGAGATATCCTGGGTATCCGAAAACTCTCCAAGACAACGCCTGCTGAATCGTCCGCCGCTGTTGTCATCCAATAGCAGTCCCTCACATGCACAACGCATTTCAAACTCCTGACTACCTCGTGCCAGGATGCAAACATCTGTGTCAGCATCCGCGATCTAGTGGCGTATAAGAAATAGTTGTCCGCAAAAATCAGGATTGGCAATCTCTTGAGGCCCCGAAGAATATTCTTCTTTTTTGGCCCCCCCCTGCATGCCCCCCCGCCCAGGACACACAATATCCGCCGCCTCCAGAGGGTGCCCCCATTTGTTTTTCTTGCATGTCCCCACGAATATTTCCACCGCCACATCAAGATAGTACGTGCATTCCCTTGGAGCCTCAGGGCCCCCTTGGGGTATAGACCTGGTTCGACCAATTCCGTCCGCGGGGTCCAGTCCTGTCATGCAAATGCTGGATGCACCTCTCCTCACTTCCCGTACTCTCGCGGCCGTCACAACGCGCGGAACGTTCCGCACCTCGCGCGTGGCAACCCATGCCGCGTGGTCGACCATATCGAGAGCCTTGTGGAGGCATCCCACCCCCAAGCACAGTGGTTCGGCAAACTCATTCGCTCGTTCCAGGAGACTCGTTCCACGAGCAGGCGTGTACTCGATACTATGCCATGCACCTGATACTGTTTTCTATTGGCAAACTGGTATTCCGTTGACGTATGATCCGCTAGTCCCGGCAAGACGCCCAAAACCATATAATAAAGTTTAAGTAACACCGAAAGCATCGCAATCGGTCTGAAATCCTTCACCTTTTTCGCCCCGAAGAATTTTTGATGAAGAATAACCTGGTGACGGTCCCACGCAGGTTCCACCTCCTCCGTCGGGTGATTCAAAATACGCAATACGTATAGTGCCACTAATATGCTTAACGCGTCGTCACTCAAAGTCTGTAACATCTCTGCAACCAGCATATCGCCCTTGGAGCAAGTCTCCCCATCTCTCATGCGCTGCAGCTGTGCCCGCAAAAGATGGGCGTTCACAGGCGGTAGACTCGCGAGATCCGCTCGCGCCCACCGTTGATGAATCCACTCTGGCATGGGTGTATGTTCTGGGTCGGACAATAGAGTCGTGTAAAATGCGTGTACCATCCGTCGCATTTCGTCGTGATCCGTCGTAAGTCCCCCCCCCCCCCCCCCCTCCAGCGCCTTCACCTGCATCATCACTCCTCTCTCCTTGAGCGACCACTTCTTCGCAAACGCGGCCGCCAAGCGGAGATCCCCTCGCTGTCTCGCGAGAGCATGTCGCCCCGAGACCAAATCATGCCCTACTTGATGTCTGAGCACTGGATCCGCTTCTATGTCTCGCATGAATTGAAGTTCTCTGACCAACTGAACCCGTGGATGACTGTCTGGTAATTTGGGCGTCGTCGTCTTCTTAAGCTTCCCGCATTTCACTGCCGTCGTCGCAGCCACCTTCGCAAAAAACGATAGAGTCGGCAGTCATTACCCTTCCCATCCCTCCTCCTCAACACCATGGCCCCGTCGGGTTCCTCACAAGTGTCGGGGTCCAACCGGCGCGTCGTAGCGGTCTTCCGCTGTCGTGGCAGGTAACCCGCAGGCGCAGCACTGAACAGAGCGTAAGCCGATCGTACCTCGCGGTAACTGTCGGGGCTCACACTGGCAAGGAAAAAGCATTCCTCCTGTGGCATATCACGAACATGTAAACGAGAGGGTAGGGTAGAGAGTATGTCGCTCCAGAGAATGTAAGGGCGTTTCACACGCCACTTGTGTCGACTCCTGGCGCTGGGCGTACCTCCGATTTTAGCGAGACTGTCAGCGATCTCGTTGCCGTCGGCCCCCTGGCGCCCTTTAACCCACGCGGCCCGAACCTCAAACAACCGCTTCACCTGCTCCCAAAGCAAAGATAACACCTCAGACATCAAGACGTTGTGCTCAGGTGTAAATTTAGAATCGATGAGACCGAGAACGTAGGTAGAGTCAAAGAGAACCTCGATGCATGCGCCGAGAGGGGCAGCAGATTGGACACTGCCCTGGG